TCAAACCCAAAGGCCTAAGCCTGCCCTTTCAAGCTCATTACCATTAACCCCTGTCAAAAAGCTTCAACCTGTTTTCAAGCCTTAAACCATAGAACCTGTAATAAAACAACAAAAAACCTGTCCAGCTCTAAAGCATAAGCCACAAAAGCCATAGCCATGAACCAGAACAGCATAAGCCTAAAAACTGATTCAAACCTTCCAATCTTAACCTGTCAAAGGCTACAACTTTAAACCTGTAACGCAAATAGGACCAAACCTAAATATTCAAAATCATCAAGCCCTCAGAACAACGTTCATCATTGGGGCAGGCAACTCACATCCAGGCATCAAGACAACCAAACAAAAAGGAAGCGTTTCAAGGCATCAAAGCATTCAGAAGCAACATAAAGAGACCCTCGGAGTATTCTCTTCACAGGGCGTTCATTCAAGACAACAGATCAGACCCAATAATACTCAAACACAAGGCATCAAGCTAGGCATCAGGGCGACAAGAAGAAGAAGATCAAAGATACAGAGTAAGGCAATCAAAGCCTCAGACCACTGTCATCATAGGGTTTTGAACAACAATACGACACTCACAAGCATATTGAATATAGCCAACATTACCAAGCAAGCATGTCAGTAATTATCATCTCATAAGCAACATAAGCATACATAAGCAGAAGCGAAGAGAAGAAGAAAGAAGGGATATCAAAAAGGTTTCCAGAAACGCATCACAAAACCTAAAAGGCAAAAGACAAAGAGTACAGAGTACCAGTAAAAGCAAGCTAACTTCAGCATCACCGTTCCCCTCGTCGTCAAGCCACCGGAAGCGCCTCCAAGCTACCGTTCTTCTCCCTTTCCAAGGACCAGAGGTAGTATCCCTAATCTTCGCCTTTTCATGCACCTCAATAAGAACACAAACAAGAACATAAAGGAAATCAGAAACGAAACTAAAACACACAAAGATATGAGCTAAAACCCTAACGCGTTGAAAGAAAATCGTACCTCTGTTTATCGCCGTTTGAGTGGGCATGAGGAGGAGAAGGAGCGGTTGCGCTGGTGGCTTGAGTGAGAGGGATGCTGTTCAAAGATCCACGGCGAAGAAGATGAAGTAACGAACGAAGAGGACGGAAGTAGCGAGCGGCGCTTCTGTATGTTACAAACCCTAAGCTAGCCTCAAATGAACACAAAAATTCATAACCCTAAAAAAAAACAAACGTGAAGCATTTGGGCCTTGCCCATTTCTGAAATGCCAAAGGCCCATTCAAATCAACTTAACCCTTTTTTTTAGAATATAAAACAGATTTTATTTTCTTTTTGTTAATAAATTAACATAACTTTTTTTTATATATCAAATTTTTCTTTTTTATAACATATTTATAGTTTTGAACACAATATATATTTTCTCAATTTTTTTGTATAAATATATGTATTAATACTAATTACTAATATATAAGAAATAAAACTTAAAATATTCTTATTTTGTACATTAATACTTTAATACATAAAATACATGAAAATACATTATTTAAAACACTTTCCTTTTTATTTTATTAAACTTATTTTGATTTATACATAAATTCTCTTTAAGTTAATACATTTTCTTTTCTTAGAAATATTTTGTACATAATCAATTAAAATACTTTTTTTAATATACATAATATAATTAAAATGTAAAACATTTTTCTTTCATTTAATTAAAATATTCTTTTTGTACATATTAAAGAAAAATACAAGATTACAAAGATTAAATAAATAAACATCTAATTCTTTTCATTTAAGTTAACAATACTTAATCTTCACATTAAAATTCACATTTTCTTAAACTTGTAAATAATTCTCATACACGTACACTTACACTTACACAATACACTTTACATTTGATACACATACAATTACTATTCTTATACATTACATCATTGATTACATTTTTATCGCAATTCGATTTGGTTGTAAATTATTGGACACTACATTCCTAAAGTCTCATCCCCATTTGTAAATTTGTACCCCCACTCCCGGATACTATTTGTAATAGCGTAGGCTATAAATTCTTGCAATTTACCGCTTTCAATTATACCATGGTTAGACCTAGGGTTTGCATGTACATAAAATCAAACGATAGATAACCTAATACAAAGACAAATACATGAAATCAATACACAATCACACTTGCACCCCCTGGGGTAATCCCACATCTTGCCTTCCAAAATGGGCCATGCTTGCACGTCGAGTTTCTTTGGCAAAACAAATCAAATGATCGTAAGTCCCTCGATGACGCTTTCGAAAGTTGCCTAAAACGGAATGATCATAGTCCCTTCAAGCAAATTGCCAAAGACACTTGGCACCATTGCATTCATGGTCCATACGATGACCCGCGCCCGTCCCGTTAAACATCCTAAATGCAAGATTGTCCACCAAATTCAATGGTGGAACAAAATTGTTAAAAGGGGTTGAAAACATGAGAAAAACCTTTGAGTACGATAGGGGTATACCAAACTCTTAGTTACTTGAGATCAACTTGCAAAAACACTTGCCTTCTTTTCAAAAACCACACTTCATACACACTTTCAAACAAACTTCCAAAAACATTTTTGAAACATCTTTTCGAAAAGATACACACTTTTTGTAAAACACTCAAACACGAGTCAATTACATTGGTTGCCTAAGACAAGGCATCTCTTCAAAAACATTTTCAAAACACACACACACACACCACAATTTCAAAGCAATCGAAAATCAAGGCAAGTGATCTAAAAAACCAAGTAACTAAGAGCCCATGGATAACCATGGATGAAAAGGGTGCTAATACCTTCCCTTTTCATAATCTACCCCCCGAACCCACGAAATATCTCAAAAGGTTTTTGCTGTGCTTTTTAACCTTTCCTTTAGGATAAAATAAAAAGTCGGCGGCGACTCTTGCTCAACCGAAACATTTGCGAAAACAAACGCAAAACCTCAAGTCAGTTCTCCCACCGTATCACAGTGGGGCAACAGTCTTTGGAGATATTTCCGGGGTTAAAATCCTTCCGCTTCTAGTAACCTTACTGGTTCCAGCAATATTGTCAATGTCAAGATCAACAACTTCAATAACTTCATCTTCAACAATCGGTAGTTCTTGTTTGACACCATGATAGTAGACGTCGGATCCATAGTTCTAAGGAATATCTTTATCCGAAGAATATGGGATAGGTCCAGGTGTAGTGATGATCAGAGGAACAAATTTCGGATTGGCAGTAATCCTTACAGGACCTTTGGAGGTGATCATGACAGGAGGGCTAGAAATTGCGGATAAGTCTTGACATATACTCTCAATAGATGGAACCTTCTTGATCAAAATTATATGATTGTCCATCAGGCGTTGAATGCCTTCCTTCAGTAATTTGTAGCCATTGGGTTGGAGTGCACAATAGTAACATTTTTCAATACAGCCCGAAAATTAACTGGCATGCAGTATATTCTTCTTGATTATTGGTAGAGGAGTAATAAATTCACTTATGGTAGCAACATAAAGAAAATCGTCAATAGCATTTAGGCCTTTGTCATGCTTCGGCATAGGTGCAATAATCACATTTGGAGTCTCCGGAGGATCAAACTCAATCTCCTTGTTATCAATCATATCCTGCATTTTGTTTTTCAGGCTCCAACAGTTGTTAGTTTCGTGCCTAGGACGGTTGGAATGATAGGCTCACGTTGCATTTGGATTGTACTTAGGAGAGGAGGTGTTGGGATTCTGAGGAGGATCCCTTAGTGTAATCAGTTCGGCTTTTAGAAAATGTTGTAACGACTGAGACAAGGGCATATTAATCTTGGTAAATTGACTTCCCAGAGCGTCTTACTTACGCCTATTGCCCTAGTGTTGTTGTTGAACAGGTGCATGATTAGAAATTAGTACCGCTCCCACAGACTGACTGCAGTCACTTTTACCCCGGCCCTTCTGGCCATAAACAACAATGGTCACTACAAGAAAAATGATAGATTGGGACGGTTATTTTGGCTGATTACGACGGTTAAAACCGTCGCAATTTACAATCTACGACGGTAGAAGTACCGTCGCAGAATCGTGCGTCCCCAGCCTATTTCACGACGGTTGCAAAAACTGTCACGCACAACAGATAGCGACGGTTATATACCGTCGTGAATTTGACTTTATTTTTTGTTTTTGTTGTTGTTTGCGACGGTTACTCTACCGCCGTAGGTTAGAAATTGCGGCGGTTTTAACCGTCGTAATCTGATTTATAAATTTCAAATAATATTTTTATTTAAATTATTATTTAGTAAAATAATTTTAAATATAATATTATTTTACTATAATATTTTACTATTATATTTAAATTATTATTTACTTTAATATTTTTTTATTTATAGTATTTTTATTTTATTTTCTATCACTTTTCAACATAATAAAGTTAATTACAATAAAAACATTTAATATCAAATAATCATCAATAATATCAAAAAAATGTGATCAAAGGTAAAAAGAAGTGCAAATTTTACCAATAAACAAGAAAAATTCAAATATCATCAAAGGCCAAATTTCATTTTAATATTTACATTGGTTTGCTACAACTTGAGAGAATTACAAAAAATGTTACAATATTCTACAAAATTCATGAAAGTCCTTAGTGTTAAGTGATTTTGACTACCATTTGGTCCAATTCTACTTGTCCATTTTTACTTGTCCATTTTGCGCTTCTTCTTGTACCTGCATTACAAAACTAACTGTCAATTATGGGCTGGCAGAATAACTCTCACAACAGTTTGCCTAACACAATGACCAGATCTGTTATTCAATAAAAAAACCATTGTTAGCAGGATTCCTGATATTGAGATTAGAACTGCCATTATTTTACCTTTGCAGTTCGGTCAAGTGAACCACTGTAAAGTCGGTCACCAGATTATGAAATTGTCAAGCTTGTCACAGCCTTAGTATGTTCTTGGATCTCTTGCAACAGAAGTAACAAGTTATCTTTTAACGTCCAGACCTTCACGTGTGTGTCATAGAGATTTAGTTTCTTGGTCTACTTTAAGATACCCGAAACATGCTTCATGAAGTCATGACAATCATTACAGATTCTAAGATTCTTAATGACCCTAATGGCCTTTCTATCCCTACGATAAAGAAGCACAAAAGCCACTGCCAATTTCTCACTATGATAACCCACACAATGCTCTTTCTCTTCCTCTTGAATATCATGTAACACAGACGAAGTATTAGGGGTGTAACCTCCAAGTTTTAAAGTATCTATAACTGAAACTAAAAAATTTGTAATCTTCTCCCATTGTGGATGAGAATGATCACCAGAGACAAACTCATGAACCATTTGATCAATATGGATAAAACTAAGGCCAGGCTCCTTGGCAATTCTATTTTGCCTCAGAGAATTTCTCAAGCCAGCCTTACCACCCTAGTTACCAACTCCACCATATGCATTCAATAAAAGCACATAATCACCATCATGATGTGGATCAAGCTCATTGACTCTTTACCTGGCCTTTTCAGCCAACAAAAGATGGTTATGGTTCACACACGCCCCAAGCAAAGTCCTCCAAATAACCGAGTTTGGTTTCACAGGCATTTTCTCCACAAACTCAAAAGCTTCAACAAGAAGCCCCGCACGACCGAGAAGGTCAACCATACAACCATAATGCTCAAGCATCGGTTCAATTCCAAACTCATTCGTCATGCTTTCAAAAATCCTCCAACCATCCTCCACAAGACCACCATGACTACAAGCCACCAACACACCTATAAATGAAGTCCGGTCAGGCTTCAAACCAGACTCCTTCATGTCATAAAACGCTTTCAAAGCTTCCTTACTCCGTCCATGAACAACAAGCCCATTAATCAATGCAGTCCAAGTAACCACATTTCTATGAGGCATTTCATCGAACACCTTAACAGAACGATCAATGGACCCACATCTAGAGTACATATTAATAAGAGCAGCACCCAATGAAGCAGTAATGAAAAGCTGCATCCTGGAAATAAAAGAATGAACACAGATACCTAATTCAAGCACACCCAACCTCGAAACCGCAGATAAAACACTCAGCATGATAACCCCATCAATGGAACTCACAATGTCCGGGTGATCGAGCTGCATATGTTGGAAAATCGAAATAGCTTCAGCAGGAAGGTTGTTATTAACAAAACAACCAATTAAAGTAGACCAAGAAACTAAATCTCTATGACACATTTCGTCGAACAGTTTGACTGCAAAACAGAGCAAGCCTGAATCAAGAACAGCTATGATAACAAGTTATCTTTTAACGTCCAGACCTTCACGTCCAGACCGAATCAATAGAAAATATGTGTGAATCGGAAATAATAGAAGAATGAGGAATTAAGAATGCATACCTGAATCACGATTGAAGCGTTGGCGGAGTGACTCCGACGTGTAAGTATTCTTTCTTCTCTCATCATTTTTGTGATGAACTCCACTAATCAAATTAACCTCATTGAAGAAATGATCCACCCATTGCGTCGAGTTAAAACTAAGCCTTTTAACAGCCACAGTATTACCATCTGGCATAACTCCCTAAAATGAAAGGAAAAATCTATAAGCACTTAACAACAATAAGGTTGTAAGAAGTTACAATAAGATAAGATCAGAATATACTTTATAAACTGAACCTGATCCTCCTTGTCCTAGCTTATTGTCATCATTGAAGTAATTTGTTGCTTTTTCAAGAATTTCATATGGAACATTTAGCTTGGATTTATTCACTGTATCCAAAAGTGTCCCAAATTGTTTTCTCTCTAGTAAAAAAACACACACACATAGCAATAACTTTTAGCACAAGTATTTTGGAAAAAAGTAATTCCAGTCTTTAAATATTAAACATGTGTACCTCTTCTTTTCCTCATTACATTCTTTCTTATAAAGAAACCCATTGTTGCAGTAACCAAAAGAAGAGCCAAGACAGCAGAAGATGCAGCCAATATTATAGCCATTTTTCGGTGTCCTAAAACACAGTTTCAAGCTTCAATCATGTTCTTATCATAATACTGACCATGGTTATAAATTGCGGTCCGCAACGCAATTGCGGCTGTAATATTGCTAATGCAGTAGCTTCCACAACCGTATTGGACTGCAATTGCAGTGTGATTTAAAACCACGCGTCCGACTATATTATGAACCACATCTAACAATGTCGCTCAAGTTTCTTCAAGTATTTTCACCAAAACTAAAAATTTCAAAACCTCACTATGTAATGAAAAATCTTAAGATTAAATGTTTTTGGTCTATTTCAAACCCCTCAATCAAAATTCACACTGCAACGACCACAATGCGCATTGCGGCAACCATGTCACAACACCCACAACTGCATCAGCGATCGCAACCGAACTTTAAAACCATGATTCTGATATTTTAAACTACTTTACATTAACAAAAAATACAATGAACAAAAATTCAAGATTATGAACAAGTTCAAAATGGTAAGTTTGGCATAATCATGCTACTGTAATTTTGATGAAATCAATACTTCAAAGTTTCGACGAAATCAGATTACAACCGTGACTATGTACAATTCATGGCTAACCGAAAGAAAAAGAGATCATAGCTCACCGCGATTTCCAGCAGCAACATCATTACTACTTGAATTGTTATAGAACTTGTGTGGTGAATGCCTCAAATAACAACCAGAATTCAAAGCCCGTCCATCTTCTTTCTTCCTACACGAAGAACCAATCCTAGTAACCGCATCCTCCAAACATCTCCGACAGTTACCACCAGTAACAAACTTCCAACACTGAGCCAAACCATACACCGTTACATTCTTCCTCTCAACAAACCCAACAGAAAATCCACCGTTTTTCGGCGCCAACACACTCAAATTCCTCAGCAATTCATAAACATTCGCTTCATAAACATTACTACTTGTTTTAGTTTCATTATTTCCACACACGGTCGTGTCTTGATTACCAAAGACAAATGTGTGATCGCCACAGTGTCTGGATTACCTTAATATTATTATCATAGCTACATGAAAATAAGATATCCTCTGTTGGGTGCCACCTCACCATTTTCACATCCTGAGTATGTCCTTGCAGCACTAAGACACACTCAAACTCATTGCCTGGCTGCACTTCCATCATGTTCCATTCTGCTCCATCCATTATTTGTAAATCCAAATAACAGAATTTCATTATTTACCACTTCATTCCATCTCATACCATCAATCCAAACATACCCTAAAGAATTATCATATAAGTGCTTATGTATAAGCTATTTTTATAACAAATGATAAAATAAAACCAAACTACTTTTACATAAGCTAATAGCTATAAGCTGTTTTATAAGCATGCTTACAAAAATGGGTTGAAAACAGCTTATGAACATATGTTTCCATAATCTCTCTCAAATCATCTCACAAAATCATCTCACAAGTGCTTATGTCAATAGATAAACCAATTCAAACGGACTCTTAATAAAAACGATTCTAGAATTGTAAGTTGTAACATACAAAATTCATCAATAATTCCTATTCAAAAGTGATTCTACTCAACAATCCAAAAAAAAATTTGAAACATACGCTATAAAAATAAACGACGGTGTTGAAATTTAGAAATAGACCTTGCATGAGAAGAGGCTATTGGAGAGGTTCTGTTCCCAGATTCGAACGGTTTTATCGCCGCTGCAAGAAGCGAAAACGAGCGGAACACCGGCATGACCAGTGGCCGGATTCCAATCCAAGCTCCAAACCCTATCGGTGTGACCTTCGAGTTTCTGAACCTCTTTCAACTCTAACCTCTCCATTGCAAAGAACGATTTGACTCAGCGTACACGAGTTACAAACACAGACTCGCTCGTTTCTTCTCCACTTCAGTTCAATTTGTTGGCTGTTTCCTGTTTTCTCGCGAAAAGGGACAGGGAATTCAGAGAATCTTCCACACATACGTGACAAGGGGTTTTCTTTTTTCAAAATAAAAGTTTGAGACTAATCGAGGAAAAGGAAAAACACGGTGGGCGAGTGGCTTGTGCAAAACAAAATAATTCTTTTTTTTTTCTTTTTCTTTTTTACTTTGCAAATTGAATTTTGGGTGCGACGGTTGTTTTACCGTCGTGAAATGAATTTTAGGACGGATAATTTTACCGTCGTGAAAGGTTTAAGGGTGCGACGGGTGCTTTACCGTCGTGATATGCCTTTTAGGACGGTTAATTTTACCGTCGTGACTAGTTGTTGGTGAAAAATCAATGTTAAAAGTGTTAAATGGGGGCCGACGGTTGTTTTACCGTCGTAATAATAATATTATGATGGTTAAATATACCGTCGCAAAATAAATATTAGGGACGGTTGGTGTCAACTGTCGTAAACACTGTCTCTATATGTCAATTACGACAGTTATCACATAACTGTCGCAATTTTTGTGTCGTTAAACACTAATTTTCTTGTAGTGGGTTTCCATTTTATTATTGAACGTCTTCTTTACAACACTTGAAGACACAACCACTTAAATTTTTCCGCTCTTAATACCACTTTCAACTTGTTCCTCGGTTAGAATTAGCTCAGTAAAACCAGACGAAGAACTCCCAATCAGATGTTTAAAGAATGGACCTGTCAGAGTTCCCATGAACATATCAACTAGCTCCCGGTCGGACAAGGGAGGTTGCACCCTTCCAGCTAAGTCTCTCCACTTCTGGGCATATTCCTTGAATACTTCATTCGAACCCATGGTCATGTTTTGTAATTGCACACGAGTCGATGCAAGGTCAACATTGTATTGATACTGCTTGTAGAAAGCAGCAGCGAAGTCTTCCCAAGTACGAATGTTGGTTCCTTCTAGTTGATAAAACCACTCGAGTTGTGTACCAGACAAACTTTCCTGAAAGAAGTGAACCCTTAACTTTCTGTCAGCAGTATGGGGTTGGATCTTCCGAACATAAGATCTCAGATGAAGTTTCAGGCAAGACACACCATCACATTGATCAAAAATAGGGACTTTGAACTTGTGAGGGATAACCACCCCCGGAATAAGACCCAAATCTCCAAAATCCAATCCAGACACTTTTTGGATTTCCATAGCCTTAAGACGATCTTCCAGTTGCTTGTATCTATCGTCGGCAGGAGGATAATGTTCATTAGAATAGTCTTCGTCCTCAGAAATCTTACCAGAACAAAGGTTGCTTCCACCTTCGGCCCTGAAACTTCTACCATCCTTCTCTTTATTGTCATTTTCCTTAGAGGTGATATCAGCAGTTTGAACTTGTTTAGAAGGACCTTTGAATCTTATTCCCATGTTGAGAATAACAATTGGCTTCTGAGTCTTCTTCTTTTTTGTGATGAGTGCCATCATATCTTTATGTCCTTGAGCGAGATTCAGGAGGGTCTCCTGGAATTGAGCATTCTGAGCTTGGAGTTCCTTAACATTCTGTTCAAGAGCCATATTTTACTGAAATAAACAACAAGAAGATGAGAAAACCTGTATAGGAAAACATGTTTATGTAATGATGCATGATCTGAAAATGCAATGTTTTCAAGGATTGTGGGATTTAAATTTGTTTAAACAAAAGGAAACAAGATAAATTTAGTAATTATCTAGAATTATAATTGCTTTTAATAAAAGAGTTACAAAATAGCAAAAATATAAATTCAAGTCTCCCATGGTCGCTTCCTCTTTGTGTTGACATATGCATTAAGGCTTTCTTCTTCGTGGAGTCGCTTTGTTAGCTCCAGAACTGTCTCCTCACTAGCATAGAGTTGAGCTTTAGAGGTATCTCTTTCTTCTTTAAGCTAAATCCAGAACTTCTGTAGTCCTTCGAAGTCAGTAGGAATATCTGGATGAAGAACAATATGAAAACATCCTCTTCCATAATGGGATGTACAATCACTGGTAAGATAGCAGGATATGGCATTTTTAGATTCTGAGCACGAGACTGCACCCATATGAGGTAAGGCTCTATAGGAATGTATTTCTTGTGTCTCAAAGTCTTGCTATCAATCTTGTTGACCGCGCCCCAAGCATGTATAAACCTTTGATGGTAATTCTGAGGATCGTTCTCATAGTCGAACATAATACGCTGGATGAGGATATCATAAGGACCATCTCTTCAAGCATAACCGAACTGGTTAAGAGCTAGAGAAGGGTCATAAGAGATACCCCCTCTTATACCAAGGAGAGATACATTAGGAAATTCCCCATAGTGATCAATAATAGTGACATCTTCCTGAGATCGAGAACACCAATGGATATCTGCATGAGTGAGCGACATCAACCTTTGAGACCACCTTAAACCTTGTTCATTCTTTATCACTGATCGGGGTAGGTGCGAAATAAACCACCCGGGAAGTAGAGATATGCAACATATAATAGTTCCTCACTTCTTCATAGTACGAGTGTGGAGAGAATGTAGGATATCTCCGAGTAAAGTGGGTACTGGGTTATGAGTGAGAAATATCTTGATGGCACTCATATCTATGAATTGGTCTGAATTAGGGAATGGTACCAAACCATAGATCAGCAAGGCCATAATATCCTCAAAAGCACGAAGATTCATGGCATATAGAAATCCATGAGCCTTATTTATCATAAATTTAGGAGAGAAACCCTTAACTCCGTTCCTCGTTTCCCAATTGGATACAATGTCTAGTCATTTCAGATGTAGGGCAACAACAATGTCTTCAGGTCTCTGAACTTGCTCTAGACCGGTGAAAGGTATCTGATCAACAATAGGCACTTCAAGTAATTTAGAGAATTCTTCCATTGTGGGCACCAACTGATAATCTGGGAAAGTAAAACAGTGATGTTTTGGATTAAAGAACTGGAAAAACACGCTCATCATGTCTTCCTAAAAACCAGTGGTAAACAAACTGAGTAGATGACCATGTCTCTTGGTGAAATGAGAATTGTCGGGAACCTTTGAGATTAACTCCTTAAAGTTGAGAAGGTACCCTTACGAAGTTGATCCAGATGGTATTCGTACGAATAAAAGCCATTACTCTGCAACACAAAACAAAGATAAATCCCCTAGATCCTTGAAATGGTTAGTCATGATATGATGATGTTAGGATGTTATGATGTCATGATAACATGTTCAAAACAGGTAATCAAACACAAGCAAAGCACACAAAGGCCTTAAGTTTAAGGCTTGCATGAGGTTTATAGGTAAGCACCCTCTTGAAGTTATTTGGCTTAACATTTCCTAAAGAAGTAACCGATTTTAGGGATCTCAATATCACTGATCTTTCCCACAAGTTTCGTCTAGCCCGACAACCGACTTGCCACCAAACAAAACTTCAGAGTCAAATATTAATTAGTGTAATAACGAGTACCAACCAACTTTGGACTACACGAAACCGGCTATCTCAATACCTTCTAATGGCTAAGTTGGGTAAATTAAGGTTCTAAGGTCAGTTAGTGCTTATGACACCACGCGGCAGCCTAGTATGCTCCCCGACTGACTCGAAGGATACCAGTACAAACCAATGTGTTGCACTAACATAGCCATCATCTCAACCATATCGGCATACGCTGTATATTTCCCATGATCTATTGCTACTTACAAAAAATTTTCCCCAGATCTGAGTATAGGATCTTTGCAAGAAATAAGGAAAGCATTTAAAAGTGATCTAATTATAAGGTAACCCCACTTTTAGTTCTCCCCAATAGAGATGCTAGTTCTATAATACGGTGGGATAATTTACTTTGGTTTTGTGTTTTATCGCAAATGTTGTTGATAGCAAGAGTCACCACCGACTTTTCTTTTATCCAATAAGGAAAGGGTGAAAAGAACAGGAAAGACCTTCAAGATTATTTTGAGTTCGGGAGGTAGGTTATGAAAAGGGAAGGTGTTAGCATCCTTTTCATCTGTAGTTATCTACGGGCTCTTAATCTCTAACTCACTTTGTTTTAAAATGATTTGTGTGTATGTGTTTTGAAAATATTTTGAAAAATGCCTAAGTACGACAACTTTGTAATGATTCTCGTATCAGTTGAGCATGCATACAAAGTGTTTTGTTTTTTTGAAAATATTTCAGAGAAAAAGTGTTTGTGAAAAGATGTTTTTTGTGTGAGCAAGCGATTAACAATATTCTACCCTTACTCAAAGGTCTTTCGTGTTATTTTCCTCCTCCTTATCTAGTGCTACCATACCATTAGTTAGTATGAAGCCCTATCGTTGGATGTGTAGGGACAAGCGAGGGTCATCGTAAAGTCATAGAAGGAAACTCGTAGGGACGCTTTACTAATTATAGTTTAAGGGACTAGATCATTTACCGAAGGAAACATCGAAAGGGTCATCGAGGGACTATGATCTTTTGTATCAGAGGGACTTTGTTAAAGCGTCCCCACGTTCTAGGACATGACTGTTTATTTGAAGGAAACAAGTGAGATTACACTAGAGGTGAGTGTGTGAATAGTGTATTGAATTCAGTTATTTAATCTTAATTTGGATTATCTAACGGTTAATTTTAGATCTTGCCATACATGCCCTAATTACTAGCAGCTAAAAGGAAAGCAATAAAGGCAAAAGTTAAAAGTCCAACACTATTACAAAGCTTTGAGGAAGGGGGTACAAAACCACAAAAATTGGGGGAAATAGAAAACAAATAAAACCATAGTTAAAGTATTACATTCCGTAGCAGTTACATAATAGAAAATAAAACTAATGTGAAAATAATAAAGCGCGCGAAGATTGTAAAATAAGAGAAAAATTGTTTGATGAAAAAGACTTGATAATTAACTTAATGTCTAATTAATTTTAATTGGTTAAAAAAAGTCAGGTAATTAAACTAGGCAAACCCTAAAATCTAAGTCGAC